TTAAATGCTAAAAACTATATAAAAATATATCTATATATAGATATATCCCCACTATTAATCCGAAAGCGGAAGCAAAGCAAAATCAGCTGATCGCCGGCGCGCCTACCGTTCAAAGGTCGGGCAGCCGGGTGGAGGCGCTTTCTCACTCTCTCTCTCTCTCTCTCTCTCTCTCTCTCTCTCTCTCTCTGCCTTGAACCCGTTTTTTATGTCTCTCTATGTGCGCCCCGAGGGCAAGGCGGCGAATTGTGCTCGGGGGGCTCCGTTTATGCGATCTGTCACACACCCGGAAATTTGAAGAGCGGGAGCCTCAACTTTCTAAAGGGCGTGTGACCTGTAGGATCTATTTTTAATGTTGAATTTGGGGCATCTGAAGGGTTATCGATCATGTTAGTTGGTACACGTTGAATAGGGCATCTCTCTGTCTCTCTCTCTCTGTCTCTCTCTCTCCCTCTCTCTCTCTTTCTATAAATACCCTTCAATTTCCGTCCCCTCTCCCCACCTCTCTCTTTTGCTGTCCACTTCATCGATATGGGCCACATACCCATTTCATCCCTTTTATAACCGCTATACGGTTTCTACGGTGTTCGAAACTATCGATTTTTAGGGTCAGCGAGCAGAGTTTCTTGAGGAATTCGAGGGTAGACTAGCAGAGATTATTTGAGGAAACAGCATCTGAAGGCGAACTAGCAGAGTTTCTTTTGGAAATAGGCGAGCTCGCAGATATTCTTAAGCAAATTGAGGGCATCCTAGCGAGATTCTTTAGGAAAGTGCATGCTAGTAGATATTCTTGAGGAATTGATTGGCAGGCTAGCAGAGACTATTTAAGATTTTTTGCTTCTCTCGTATTCATGATCTCCGGATTTTAACCCTTTGAATGAACCCTATTTCAGTCCCTTTCGGGGTGAAACTTTTTGCGGATTTTCCCTGTTGTCCGGGTTTGAATGGAAGGATTTTGAGGGGAAGGAAGGGATTGAGCCCTCATCAACTTGATGTTCGATTGAAAATGCGGATTTTCTACAGTCGAGAGGTAGAGAGAGAAAGAGAGAGTGACAGCGGGAGAAAGAGAGCGAGGGAGAGCGATATATGGTATCCCCAAGGATTTCTGCCTGCCTTAAAATCCAGAAAGCCGCTCTGATAGTCTGCTCCAACTCTTAAATTTGCACTGCTAACCTGCCAGTATTCCTCAAGAATCTCTGCTAGCCTGCCCAAAAATTCTAGAATTCCACCGCTAGCCGCTCACTCATCGGAACGCGAATTGGGACGTCATCCTCCTCCCGTCCGCCTCCTCTTCTTCTCTTCTCCCACGCCATCCACCCCCTTCTTCCGAAATTAGTAGCCCCGCTTTTTTGGAGGGGATCTCTCTCTCTCTCTCGGTCTCTCTCTCTCTTTAGCTCTCTCTTTTCTTCTCATCGTCAAAAGGATCCCTTCGTACTCCCCCATCTCTTCCAGTCAAACCCAGGCTAGCCCCCCAAAATAACCGCCCCCTTTCCGGGGATAGCTGCTATACAATTGTTTTTTCCTAAATGCTTACTGGGCTTGGATTTTCCTAAAGAACCTCTGTCAGCCTACCCTGTCCTAAGAAATCTCTGCTAGCTTGTCATTTCCTAGAGGTCCATGGCTAGTCTGCCCTTTCCCAAAAATCCTCTGCTAGCCTGCCCACGCCTTTGCCTCAAAAAATATCTGCGAGCCTCCTTTTTCCTAAAGAATCTGGTAACCTGCTAGTCCGCCTTTTCCTCAAAAATAACTGCTAGCTTGCCCTTTCCTAAGGAATCTCTGCCAACCTGCCCACGTCATTCGGCCAATTAGTCTGTGTTTCATGTCGTAATCCGTTACAGTACCCTCAAAAACGTGCAATTTCCACTTCCGCATCCGATTTGATCTTTGGTTTGATATTCCTCGCCCTCTCATCGCGGGGCATTGTTTAGAAAACATTCCCTTCCCCTCCCATCCCTCCCGATCGGCCATTCACAAAAATTCCCAGAGGCCAGAAAAAGATAACGCTGACCGGGGAGGGGATGGAAATTGATTGATTGGTCAACAGGGGTTTGATTCCGCAAATCTCTCTGCTAGCTTGCCTTCGAAATTCGTAGGAAATACTTGCAAGCTTGCCCTCTAAATTATTTAAGAGTCTCTGCTAGCTGGCCCTGTAAATCCTCAAGAATCTCTGCTGGTTGGCCCTTGAAATGCTTTAGGAATCTCTGCTAGTTTCCCCCTCTAAATTCCTAAGGAACCTCTGCTAGATTGTCCTCTTAGTTTTCAGAGCATATCTGCTGGCTTGCCTCCTTAATTCTCAAAAGTCAGTGCTAGCTTCCTGTCTAATTCTCAAAGAATTTCTGCTAGGTTGCCCTCAATTTTCACAAAGCATCTCTGCTGGCCTGCCTTTCCAGCATGCCTCCGTATTTTCTAAAAACATTCCCGCTAGCCTGCCCTCCGAATTCACTAAAAATCTCTGCCAGCTTGCTATCAAAAAAGCCCCAATCTTTGCATTGAAAGTCCCTTAAACTCTGCCATGTCACCCGAATGACCATTGTTATGTGGTGGTTGTGATGTTTTTTAGAAGCCCTCTCCATCTCTTTCTCTCCCTCCCCTCCCCGCTTCTCGTGCTCACTTCTCCATTCGGCGGAATCGATCCTTCTCCATCTCGCCCACCCCGAATTTGGCGAAAGCCGATGAGAAGAGGGCGAGAGAGCGATAGAGAGCGAGAGAGAGCGAGACAGGGAGAGGGCGAGAGAGAGAGACAGGGCTGTGCAAATGAATGAACACACCATCCGTTGGCCCAAACCCCCATTTTCGAAAGCTCCGTATTCGGGGTAAAGCTTTAGATTCTGATTTTAGGCAGTTTTCAAAGCTCAGTGATACCTCTGGCTCTTCCATTAACATAAAAGCTTGCTCCCTAAAGAGTGGCGCTCAAAATAGAGGATTCATTTGTTTTTATCTCTCTCTCCTTTCCTCTCGCTCTCTCTGATTTTATCGCGTAATCGATTCCCGGGCGCTGGCGAATCCGCGTTATTTTTCTCGCGTAATCCTTGTCGTAAGAATCTTTGCAACGCCGCCAAAATGCTCAAACTTTCCCCTACAAAAAATCCGATATTTTCAGGCGTAGCGTTTCGGTGCTTGGATGCATTCCCTGGCAACCCGATTCATTTTCGTGCGCCGAATTCCGGAGGATTCGCACAGAATTCCAGCTTTTTGCCGTCAATTGGTGTATTCTGGACCCAGCACTCTCTTTCTGGCTCTCTCTCTTTCTCTCGCTCTCTCCAATTCATATTAAATTCCCAAATAGTCCCTGCTAATTGGCCTTAAAATTCCTTGAGGAACTTCTGCTAGCTGCGCAATTTTCGAAACTTCCAGACAGCAAATCGATTTTACTCGCATGCAAAAAACAAAGATTACGCGAGACTCCTCGGGGGTACAGTATCCCCTCGTCATCCTCATTTTCTAAATCTCGCCTTTCCCTGGAATCCCCTTCTTCGTCTCAAGACCACCCAGGTCGATTCCCCTGCTGCCCCTGCCTTCCTTAATTGACGTTTTTTGGCCAATTTCCCGCTGGGACCCACCGCCGAGGTGGAGAGAGAAAGAGAGAGAGAGAGAGAGAGAGAGAGAATCTGAGAGAGAGCGATGGATAATGAGGAGGCCGCCTGTTTTTCTGGACACGGGCGATACGGTAGCGAAGGCACATCTTAAAAAGTCTCTCTCTCTCGAACCCTACCCAATTCCCCAAGAATCTCTGCCAGCCTACCCTCCATCCAATCAAATCCGTAGGGAAGAACGGATAATGACTGCCCTCCCTTCTTCTCCTCCTTTTTCGGGCTGCAAAAACAAGACGAAGAAGAAGCATTCCTCCGAATGGCTCCTCCTCCCCCCTTCAGTCGACGTCACTCTCTTTCTCCCTCCATCTCCCCTCCAGCTCTCTCTCTCTCTGTGGCCCAAATAAGGGCCCTCCGTCCCTTCCTTTGCCCCTCACGGCTTCCTGGATCCCAACACGAAAATATACACACGCACGCATCCAAAAACAATATTTTGAGCTCGCTCTCTGGGTTCTCTTCGTTCACGCATTCCCGTCCTCATTCTCTTGCTCCTTCATCGATTTGTTTTTTGTTTTGAAGGATGCTCGAGACTTGACTAGGGTCGAAAACGATTGTTTCTAGATTTTCACGAGACCTTAAAAATGCGCATTTTCCCTCGCTCTCTTTCGCTCTCTCTTTCGTTCTCTTTCTCTCTCTCTCTCTCTCTCTCTCTCTCTCTCTCTTGCCTTCTGGCTCTCTCTCTCGCTGTTCCCAGAAATTTTCATTTCAAAACTCCTTTAAATCTGGTTTTCTGTTATCTTAGCCGAATCTACAGTTTTTCTCCAACTTTCCAACATCTTTAAACCCCAAAAATCAAATTCCCCTATCCCTTTCATCTCATTTTTTGTGATTACATAGAAGGAGCAGGAAGTGTCTGCTCATTCATTCTCGGTTCCGCTAGTATAGTTTCCGATCGTATATTGCAACGAGGCCGTCTCTCACTCTCACTCTCTCTGTCTCTCTCTCTCTGTCTCTCTCTCTCTCTCTCCCTCTCTCTCGCTCCATCTCCTCTATTTTCAGACTCCATCAATCGCTCTGGGGTGGGGTTCAAGCTGGCTTTGGGGCGAGGAGGCGCTCCCCGCCCCGCCCGCATTGACCGTAAGTTTTTTAAAAGATTTTCGTATTTTAAAGAAACGTAATCAATTATTTTTTATTAGCTGTTTTTTATTTAAATGACGTGATAGGTTGAAATTCGCAAAACATTGATTTATATGGCGTAATCATTTGAATTCTGGCGTAAATTTTCCTTTATATAGCGTAAGGCATAAGGAAATTTCAGATTGGTATCTACATAGTTTTTAAATTTTCTCTCGCGGGAACCAAAATCCCTAAATGATCTCTGCTAGCTTTTTCGTGGCGTAAATAAATTTATAAGCTATAACCTAAACTTGAGCCCCTTAGAAATGAGCAGAAAACCGTGCTCTCAGCTTGCAGATGTCCTCGTTTGAACTGGAGAACGACTCATTCTACATTTGCACCGAGCTCGCGCCCCGCTGTTATATTGTCCAAAAGGTGGGTATCGAGCATCAAAATAATCTACGAATTAAGAGCTAAAACTTAAATATAGCAATTAAATCACCAATAAAATTTAATTAAGGCAATCCAAATCGATCGCGGCCAGCTGGAGAGAATGATCGGGGATAAGGAGACGAAGAGGCAGCAACCGGCTGAGCAGAATAATGCCGAAGCTCCGCCCCCTCCCGTGTTGCCTTATTGGTACGGTATATGAATATTTTGGGTATCTATTGGCATAGCAAGGCGATTCTATGGATTTTGCCGTATCCGCGACACGCAAAATGCACCGGGGTCTCTCCCTATCTCTCTCTCTCTTTCTCTCACTTTTACCCCCTCTTTCTCTCTCTGTCTCACTCTCTCGCGCTATCTTTGCTTTCTCTTTGCTCTCTATCTCGCTCTCTCTCTCTCTCTCTCTCTCTCTCTCTCTCTCTATCTCTCTGTCTCTCCTTCTGCCTCTTTCAATTGTGAATTCAATTTCCACGTTTCAGGTTCACTCAAGAGTGCCGTCGGGATCTATTAATGTGTTCCCCTCCCCTCTCCTATACTCCCAGCCCATCCCCTGTCCCACAGGCCCCGGATCTACGCTCGCAGCTCAAATTCCAGCTCGAGTACTATTTCTCAAGGTATAGGAGGATACGTTTAGCTTAAATATACCCGAAATTTAGGGAAAACCTGATGCAAGACAGATATCTGCGCTGCCAGATGGATTCTGATCAGTGGGTGGCGATCGCTATTATTGCGAGCTTTCGGAAAATCGTGCAATTGACGACGGACTACGCGACGATACTTTCTGTGTTGAGGGGTGGGTTGGAGAGAGAGAGAGAGAGAGAGAGAGATAGAAAGAGCGGAGAGCCTTTGTCGCTGAAGATCAGTTTTCAGTGGTTAGAAGAGTTTCAGGACCTAGCACGGCTAATCTATATTCGTTAGAACATTAGAGAGGCGCAAAACTGACTGCAAAAACTATTTTTATGGATTCCTAGCCTTTTTAGGTCCTTTAAAAGCTAAAAATGACTAATGTAGACTACTGTAGTGTAATGCAGTTCGTTTATTCTATTCTTTCAGAATCGACAATGGTCGAAGTAGATGCAAAAGGCGAACGGGTACGGCCGGTCAGTCGTAGATGTACAATTATACTCCGTGAAGTCGCTGAGGATCTGGCTGATGTGAGTTGGAAGTTTGAGACAGGAAAGGTTGTGGCAGCTGGCAGAGCTCGTTTGGGAAATTTGTGCAGGCGTACTAGCAGAGATTCTGGAGGAATTGAGGGCAGGGTAGCAGAGATTCTTGAGGAATTGAGGCAGACTTGCAGCGATTATTGATCTTGAGCCCGACAATGAGTGAGAAAGAGAGCAAGATGGCAGGGATCCTTGAGAAATCCAATTGTTTCCAGACTGTCGAAGAAATGCTGAGCGGTGGTCCACCGTATGTCTCTCTCCGCTATGGCCTCAACAATAGTTGGTAGGTGTATTCCATTAAGCTCTAATAATCCCTTCGTCCATAGGTACGTGACGTACAACAGCGAAGAAGATACGCAAACCGCCTATCTACACCTCCAAAATAGTGGCGTGACGATCAATGGGAAACCGGTTTGTGTAAGTTTTTAGATTGTGAATTTGACTTATTAGCTTACTCTTTAATAGTACCGTAGCATGGCTACAAAATACACCAAGACGGGCCAGTGTTTAGGCTCGAATCAAGACGGGCGGACCTCCTTCGGCTGATATTGGCCATCAGGAGAGATGTGCATCTTCTATTCCCCCGACTGCTCCTTCGCCCACCAATGATATGATGAGTGGTAGATGATTCAAGCTTTCTCAAAGGATCTCTGCTCGCCTGCCCTTCTCGAAAACTAAGAACTTTTTTTCGTTTGTCTTATCAATTCCTAAAGAATCTCTGTTTTCCTGCCCTCATCCAATTTCCCTTAGGATCCCTGATTGCATGCGCTTCAGAAAATCCTCAAAGAGCCTCTGCTACCTGCCCCTCAATCCCTAAGAAATCTCTGCCAGCTTGCCCTTATTGAATTTCTCATAGAATCTCTGCTTGGTGACCTAATTCCCCAAGGTTTTCTGCTGGCTTTCCCACACACCTCCAGGATCGGCTCCCAAGCGCTTCCGGTTTCTCGAGATTTTCCAAAAAAATCTCTGCTAGCCTCCCCATTTTAATTCCTCAAAGATCTCTCTACGCTGCTCTCTCAATTCCTCAAAAATCACTGCTAGGTTGCCCTAAATTGAATTCCTTTCAGCCCCCTCCACCGGTTCTTCTCCCCAACAGCAGCCTCCAATGCCGAGTACACCCCAGTACTCTCACCTCTACGATTTGGGCAGCGTATTGGCCGCGTACGGATTTGTGCCGAGAGCTACTTATCGGTAAGTATACTTACATACGTTTTTACCTACTTCAATTTAAAATTGAACCATTTTTTTCAGCCCTGGTCAAACGCTTGTCCACGTTGGGAATGACGGAGCGTCGAGTACATGTTCCGCCCCGGCAGCATCCGTCGATAGTATTGCCTCGACAATGTCTGGAGCCTATATCTCGACACCCACCACTGTGAATGCCGCCCCGATACCCTTGTACAGGTATGGAGATTGGATGCAAAGGGTTAGCAGAGATTCCTAGGAAAATTTGAAGAAACTAGCGGATATTTTTTGGGAGTTTGGGGCAAGCTAGCAGAGATCCTTAAGAAATTTGGATATAAGGTTGCAGACGTCTTTTCAATTCGGAAAGCAGGCTAGCAGAAATTCTTGGGGAAATCTGGGAGCCGAGAGAACACAGCGAGAGCTAGTCGGGAATCTTTAGGAATTCGTGAGACTAGCTAGCAGAGATTATTTGGTAATGGAATTGTGAGAATTGTGAGATTCCTTGAGAAGTAGGGCAAACTAGCAAAGAACCTTGCGGAATCGGTGGCACGCAAGCAGAGATATTTGGGATTATCATGGGCATCTAGCAGAAATTCTTTGGAAAACCGGACAAGGTTGCAGCCGTTCTTGCGGCATTGCAAGGCAGGCTAGCAGAAATTTTTTGTGGAATTTCTGGCAGGCTAGCAGAGACTCTTCAGGATTTCCAGGGCAGCTAGCAAAGACAACTATGGAATTCAACCTTTTCTATTCGCCTGTTTTTAGAGAATTCATCCCCTCATCGGCGAGCACGAGCCGTGGAGGAGGGCGAGGTGGAGGCGGAGGAAGCGGAGGACGCCCTAAACCGTCAGCTTCTCCTCGAGAATACAGAAATAATGGACCTGTAAGCCATTTTCTGAGGATCACGGTTGATTGGGCGCTTTTTAGTCTTCATCCGGTGCCTCGTCCTCTTCTAACAACCATTACTACGAGAATGGAGCTGTTGGCGAGGGAAGGAGAGGTGTGTTTTCGTCTAAACAATTACCATAATTTCTGGTAAAATCGAAATAGCTTAATTTTTGAACTTTTTGCTGTTTTCAAGAATCTCGATGCAAGGGCAAGCCAGTAAAGAATCCTGAGGAATTTTCAGTAATTCTCGCAGTTTTCTCTAGCTGGGAAACCGTATTTAAACGTAAGAATTTCCGCAAAATATTTCGTCGCTTCTAGCCGATTATTTCAAACTTACAGTACCCAAATATAAAGCCAAGCTAGCAAGAATCATTGAGAAATTTCTGAAACTTCATCGATCTAATTTTTTCAGGTCGTGGTGGTCGAAGCGGAGGTCGTGGCGGAACTGGCGGAAGCGGACGCGGCTCGTTTTATCAAACTTTTGGTGAGGCAATTTACATACTTTTTAAAAAAATAAATCCAGCAACTGTATATTCTCCAAATCTTCTTCGATATAAAGATGTGCATTTAAACAGCTAATTGAATTTTGAAAAATCTGGAAAAAGCTAGTATCTGGTGCATTTTTTGCAGCTGTTGAGCTAAATTTAATGTATGCAAACTTTTAGAGCGAAGAAGAGGAGATCGTGATGGAGGAGTATCGCGGAACCCACGACGCACCGATCATCGCGCCGACTCGGAAACGACGACCACAGAAAACCCGCATTCAAGCACCAATGGGTAAGGTTTTTCACTTTCGGCTTTTCCGGATTTGACAGGGGGATTCGCAAAAAATACTGAATTTTTAAGCTAATTTTTAAACGATTAAAATGCTTCCCAGCACCGCGTGGAATTCAAATTAACCAGCCTCTTGCTCCCTGCTCCATTTAACCCCACAAAATTTGCGTAATTTCCACAAAATTGCGAAAAAACAGAATCAACCCAAAAGTTAGTGATTTTGCTTTGAATTTAAAAAATTGATTGATTGATTTGACTTCACAAAAAAAAAGAAAAAATCGTCTTTTTAAATTCCTTTAACTCATTTTTTTTTGATTTTGGCTGTCGGTATTTGGGTTGTCCGGATTTTTGCCTTTTCCCTTCTTCGATTAAAATTTTAAGCTAATTCTGGGCGGTCTTGAGGCGTCAAAGGCTGATTTTCGCATTAAATAATTTAATTACTAATTCATTACTTTCGAAAAAAATTGGTGCAATATACCTAGAAAATTTGCAATAAAATAAAATAAACTTATAAGTATTTAAGCAATTTTTTACTTAATTGAAACCCTGGGATTAATTTTAATTAAACTTCACCCCTGCTATTATCACCTGGCGGTTCAGTTTTTCGTGGAAGCCACATAACAACAACATCAACAACTTCACCATTCCACCCAACACCACCCACCGTCATTTGGTGTATCCGGTAGCGGAGGCGGAAGCGGGAAGGGAGCGGTGATGGGTACCGTAATCCCGCCCACACCCACTACTCCGATCGTCACTGCTCCATTTATACCAAAGGGGAAGAAGATGGCGAATACGGTAGAAGATGGTGGAAGGAAGGAGGGGGATACGGTAGCTACAGTACCACAGCAACCACAACAACAACAACGTCAGAATATACAGGTTTGGTGGTAGATATTGTGGCGAGAGAGAGTGAGAGAGAGCAAACGAGAGAAAAAGAGAGGCAGAGAGAGAGCTAACGAACGATAGAGAGAGAGAGCGAACAAGATAAAGAGAGAGAGAGAGCGCGCGCGCGAAAGAAAGAGAGAGAGAGAGCGGGCGAACAAGAGAAAGAGAGAAAGCGCGCGCGAGACAGAGAGAGCAAACGAGAGAAAGAGAGAGAGGCAAAGAGAGCTAACGAACGCGACAAAGAGAGAGAGAGATCGAGGAGAAAGAGAGAACGAGCGAGAGAGAAAGAGAGACGCAGAGAGATATTGTGTATCTGTTGTAGTTTTTGGCAATCATAAACGCGAAATCTGGCTTTTAAAGGGATAGGAAAGGCTAGCGCTACCCTATTCCACCTAGCCATAATTTTAAAGGAACATGGAAGCAAGCCAAAATTGACAGTAAGCCGCAATAACTCTTTAGATTCGGCTTTAAAACCTAAATTCACTCCATGACCCTTTAAAGGCCACGATTCGCGTGTTAAGCCTGCCGAAAATTTGCATAATTCCCCCGCTTTGCATGCCCGAAAAATTAATGGTAATAATAATAACATAAATACCTTGTGTGCTGTGGCGTGCTGTGAAAATATATACTATCGTTTTAAGAATTTCATGTAATTAAAAAAATTTATGCAAATTTGTAAGAATTACTAGCCTGATAATTTAAAATTCAATACATCGTATCTAAATCTTGAAAATAGTTATTGTATCGTGACTTACTGTAGATATTGTAGTTTGTAGTTTGTAGTCTGTATTTTAATCTGGTAATTGGGTAAATATGTAAAATTTACAGGAGCACCACTCAGAAGAGGAGGGCTGGCGGACGGCGAGTGGAAGGAGGGGGGAGGATCGTCGTCGCAACGCGAATACAGCAGCCAACAATAACGGAACTACCTCATTTGCATACTTCACAGCGGCAGAGAGAACTGGCGGAGGAGGGAGGAGAGGCATGAGAAATAGAGCAGCAGCTGCGGGAGGAGGAGGAGCAGAGGGAGCAGGAAGCGAGAAGACGCGCACTAATAGGTGGGTCCGGGAGGGACTGGGGTCTTAAAGGGAGTGTGACAGCGAATGGGAACCGGCAAAGGCGAGATGCCCAGAGCCTGAATACCGACAGCCATAATACCGACAGCCGAAGTCCCAACAGCGATAATATCGACAAGGAAAATCCCGACAGCCATAATGCCGACGGCCAAAATACCGACGCCGCGAATCTCGACAGCCATAAAAATTGGCCGTTTTAAGTGGATTTAAAACTAGCGTCGATAATTTGTCGGGATTTTGATCTGTCGTATTTTGGTTGTAGGTATTTGGATTGTCGGGATTTGGCATTTCGAAATTTTAACCTTCGGTATTTCGGTCTGTCGGGATTTCGTCTGCCAGAATTTTGATCTGTCGGGCTTCCAGATGCCGGTCTTTTTGTGTCGGTTTCTGATCTGTCGGGATTTTAACTGTCGGGATTATAGCTGTCGGTATTTTCGTTTGTCGTGTATTAGAACTATCGGGATTTTGGTTTGTGGGGATTTTTTTTTGGCGTCATTAATAGACCATCCCGGGATCTTTCACAGGCACCTCCCATTAATGCAGCAACCCTCTTCTTTCAGTGAATCGGCCACCTCGGCCATGTCCGGCCCCTCATCCTCATGCCCATCTACCGTCTACTCATTCGAAGAGCAGTCATTTCCCGTCCTCGTCGAGCAGTCCCCACCCCAACCGCCTAAGCCCGAGCCCAAGCCCACCTTCAGGTAAATTTACATAATTTTAGTGATTTTTTTCATCTTCAATATATCGTAAAAATAGTTAAAAAACCAATAAAAACAATTTTGTATATTTTTGTTGTGGTGTAGTGGTTAGTGGTGTTGTCTTCAAACTGCACGACCCGGGTTCGATCCCCGCCGGGGTCAAACTTTTTGCTTTTGGGGAAAACTTTTAAAATAGATTTTTTAAAGAGTGGTGTCGAAGTAAGAAATCTCCAAAATCAGATTTCTCAAAAATGCAAAAAAAAACAGAATTTTTGGCAGGAATTTTAGAATTTTACTTCCAATTCCCTTAAAATTACCCATTTTTGGTATGTTTTGGAGGGTTTGGAAGGTCTTTTTTCTATATTTCCTGAAAGATTTCTGCTAGGTAGCCCGACAAATTTGGATAAATTTGCATAATTGACATTTTAAAGGAACCAGGAAGCCGGGTTTCTACGTTTCCCCAATAACTTCTGCTAGTTTGCTACAAAAATTAGAAGATTTGCATATTATTTTACAGATTAATTGCCTTCAGGCGCTTCTAAATAATTGTCTGAATTCCCTAAGAATTCCTGCTCGCCTGCCCCGATTAATCAGGAAATTTGCATCTTTTTCAGGCCGTTCGCCACGAGGGCCCCGAAAAATGCGTGGCTGCCCAAAAGTGTTAGTGGTGTTCAAGGCTCAATTTACGGGTTTTTTGTTTTAAAATTTTTCGGGACTTTTCTGCCCTTCTCACTCACCCGCCCTAATTACCATAAATATAATTTGCATATTTTCAGTAATTTTGATTTTACCGTAACTTTTTGCAGCTTCATCGCGTCGGGGAGACGGAGGGAGAAGCCGGCGGAGAAGAAGAGCTACGCGCAAATGCTAAAGGCACCTAATCATCATAATTCGGCGTAGTTCTGGTGGATTTTGGCCTTTTAAAGGGAGCGTGCCAGCAGGGAATCAACTCTTAACACAGATGAAAATTAACGAAAAATCCATAAAAAACAAAAAAAATAGATGTTTCAAACTTTAACTGTGGCCTAGTGGTTAGTGACGTTGTCTCCCACCCACACGACCTGAGTTCGATCCCTGCCGGAGCCAAACTTTTTGCTTTTTCAAAAACTTATTGAAAATACTTTTCTTGAAAGGAACGTTAAAGGGAAAGCTCTAAATCATCAGGAAATTTCAATAAAATGAAAATGTGAGAATTCGGCAGTGAAAAATCGGCTATAATTTCCCGAGCCTTGGCGGCACCATCCCTTTCAAAGTTCCCCCGATTATAAAAAAATGAATTATTGGGAGCTTCCAACTTGGGTGATTCCCAAAGATCCACTGCTAGCCTACCCGATTCAAATGTGTCCCGATCCCTTTAAAATACAGCTCGGCTCCAATTCCCGGCCACACATTAATGTCTATAAAATGTGAATTTCTTGATTTTTGTGCATAGTCTGTCATTACCGTAGTCCTTTCTAGCCCTGGTTTAGCGATTTTCACTTTTTCCACAAAATCTATTGCCTTCGCCCCGATCGTTGTGACCAATTTCCGGGTTTAAAGGGAATTGGAAAGCAAATCAGAAGAGATGAGATCAAGCCTACGCCTAAGCCTAAGTAAGCTTCAACAGCTCCTAAGCCTAAGCTAAGCCTAAACTACTCCTGAGACTAAGCCTAAGCCAAGCCTAAGCCCAGCCCCAAATTTTGCCTTCCCAATCGCTTTAAACCCACCAGCTTTTCCCCCGATAGGCGCCTATATATGCCAAGCCGTCTTCGGTATTCTACCGTACTCCCCCGTATCCTACCGTACTCCATTCAGGTCCCACCCCGGTCATCCCCCCATATTATATCTTGCCAAAACGCGCCCCGGAGCCCCAAGGGTTACGGTAGATGGGTCAGGTTTTAGGAAAATACGCGAAAATACCGTAAAACCGTAAAATACCTCCCGAGGCTACCGTCATTCAAATTGCATATCCTGTCCCTGTTTCTCTTCACTCTCGCTGTCTCTGTCTCTCTCTTTGTCTGTCAGTACCGGTACCCGTTTTCCCGCTGTCATTTGGCTAGTCTATCTCCGTCTCTCTCGCTCTCTCTCTCTAGCTCTCTCTCTCTTTGCTCTCACTCCTTTTCTCACTCTCTCCACCAATTCGTTTCTGTTAA